GAATACTAAACCCTAAATCCTAAACCCTAAACCCTAAACTCAAAAGATGCGGCTTGGTCTAGATGATGGTCTCTTTTTCGAGGAACTATAAATTCGTTCTGTTCAGGGAAGCCCGCGTGGCACGACAATTTAGAGAGCTGCCCATACGAAGAGCCACTAGATCGTCTCGGGCGTATTATATTGGACGCCTGCACGTTATGAGGGCTTCCAGATTTGAGGGCTTTTTGGGGTTTAGGGGATGGGGGGCTAGACGAGTTTAGGAAATCTAGGGTTTAGGCCTCGACTTTTCAGTGCCAATTTAGGGAGTAGGGCCCCGTTGGACAATCAAGGGGTCCCCGAAGTAGTATCTTTTGAGGCGACATAGGTTAACCCAAGCCAGAAGCCCGGTTGTTGCCAGCCTCGGGCTTTAGGACCCTTGCAAGGGAGGTTTCAGGGCGGCTTGGTCTAGGAAGGCTTATGCGCAGAGCACGAGGTGAGTTAGGCTTTCGAGAGCCTCTAAATCAAGATAAGTTAGGGAACAATAAGGCCTAAGCCGCAGAACAGTGAGAGCCTATGGATTGAGATCTTGAGGTAAACCCTTATAACCTAAACCCTAATCCGGTTTATAGGGGTTAGGGTTAGGCCGTATCAGATACATGATTTCTGCAAGCAAGAGCCCCAGGGTTTCGGGGGTCCTTCGCCTGCTTAGCGCCTGGTTTTGTCTCTCCCCGGCAGGTCATCAGCTTCGTGACGGAGTTGAACCCCACGGCCCTCATGCGCACGAACTTGCTGCAAGAGTTTCCGCTGAAGGCCGCGCGTCGCCGGGCTTCTGGTTACCCAAAAGCCCTTCTTTGCCCTAGACCCTAAACCCTAAACCCTAAACCCTAGACCCTAGACCCTAAACCCTAAACCCTAACCCTAAACCCTAAACCCAAAATCCCCCAAAACCCAAGCACCCCACAAGCCTTAAGGCCCAAACACCGCTACTGTAAGCCCCAGAATATGTTTTTTCCTAGGAGGGGGTACCCCGAATTTACCCCCAAAATAGTATAGGGTTTAGGGTTTAGGGTTTAGGGTTTTGGGTTTATGTAGGGTTTTGGGTTTTGGGTTTTGGGTTTTGGGTTTTGGGTTTTGGGTTTTGGGTTTTGGGTTTTGGGCAAAGAAGGGCGTTTGCAGGTCACTCTCCTGGGTCTGGACGATGACCGCAGCCGGAGTTGGAAGAACCTGAGGAAAGTGGAGCTGTTACACCAGTGGCTTGCGTTGCATCCAGGTGCTGAAGGGCTACGCTTGGGTCAGAAAGCAACATTCCGGGGGGCTAAGTTCCCGTACAAACCCCGTCTCCTAGACTTTAGGCCGTTTAGGACTTTTCTTTGCTTTCAATTCTCCCTTGTTGGGTTATTGCCTCAAGTAAGTCCCAAACACTAAACCCTAACCCTAAACCCTAAACCGCAGCTTTTCTTAAGTAGTATACTGGGCTTTCCGTGTAGACGCTGAGCCGTCAGCCCAGGCACGTTGCCAGCTTGCCTGCCAGCAAGGTAGGCCGGCTGGGGAGCTATGAAGAGTTTAGGGGTTTAGGGTTTAGGGTTAGGGTTTAGGGTGTTCCTGAAGCCGTTAGGGGTTTCAGGTTCATAAGGGTATGATCCCTAAACCCTAGTTAAGCCCTAAGCCCTAAACCCTATATATCCTATGTGCCCGAAGTTCCCTGTACACCCTATATACCATAGAACCTTTTAACCAATATTTAGGTTGGGAGGGATTGGGGTGCAATTGCCTCCTGCTGCCTGTGCACGCGTGCAGCCACAGAAGAGTCTAGGGTTTAGGGTTTGAGGTTTATAGAGTTTAGGGTTTGGGAATCGATTCGAGCAGGTTGTGTTTGCCATTGACTTCTTCGACGTTGCTCCTGGCCGCAATAATGAGCAGCATGAGCAAGGCCAAAATGTCGATTAGGCCCTTGTATATTCTCTTTTGTTAACTTTTCTTTTTTTTTGGGGGGGGCCTACTTGTAATCCGCCTTGAGCAAAAGGGGCGCCCTTTGTGATGCCTATTGGTTTCCTCCTAAGGTCTGGCTGCATTGCCAACAGGATCTTGTCCAGAGACTTGCCCGCAACTGATGTGCAGGGAGCCAGAGACCGGATATTCAAAGAGATCCCAGGCTATGAGCCCCAAATGCGGCGTGGGACACAAGCACAGAAACCCTGAACCCTGAACCCTAAACCCTAAACCAGTTCTCTTGTCGCTCCCCAACACCCTCTGTTGCGGGTTCAGGGTTTCGTTGTTCCGGTGCAAGATAGTATGGGACTATCATACTCTGGATCCTCAAACTGAAGATCTTCAAGCTGGTCTAGGTAGGCCCTTGGGATATTTTCTATGTTCCCTTATTGGGTTTAAGAGGATCATATTTAGGAATCTTTTTCAGAGGGCTTTAAGGGCCATCCTAGTGGTAGAATGCCAAGCAGAGCACCCGTCGGGGCCGGAAGACTTCGGGCGTAGGGCTTCAAGTTTAGTTCCAGATTCATACACA